AAAGAGGTAGATACTTAGTCATTACACAAAAATATTCCCGCTGCATCATTATTATTATTATTATTATTTATTATTATTATCATTACTATTATTATTATTATTATTATTATTATTATATATCATTATTATTATCATTATTATTATCATTATCATTATCATTTATATTACTAGCAGTAGTAAGCTTAGTAGAAAGCTGCAGCAACTTGCTGAATGACAGTGCACAAGACCAGATTATAAATCCTGAAGACATGGGACTCTCCATTTGCGACGCGACGGGACAAGAATACTCCTCTCTTAGAACACCCAAATCTTTCCAGGGTCTTTGCGGTTCTGGGTCTCTTGAATTATGTACGTCCCCTGCCATTTCATCTGTCAACGTCATTTACACCAGGACCACCAGTGGTTCCTGAGCAGCTATTCTTTCATCTAATTAAGGGAGACGTTGCGAACTACAAATACTTGATCTCGCCGATCCGAATGGTCGAGATCGTTAAGGCACTAGTAGCTATTCCGAATCGAAGGATCGCGGGTACGAGTCCCGCCTCGGGCTTGTTCCTCCTTGCCACCTCTTTGTTCTTGTCTTCGTCCTTTCATCCCCTATCATGACCATATGATATCATCTTCAGAGTTATCATACCATTAGTGCAATAATAATGCAATGGCCTAGATGTTGATGCGTTCTTAAATAACAAAACAGAAAATTTATCCTCGCCACTTAACCGAATTAGTTAACAGAATACCTTGTGCGTCTTGTCAATAGCCAAGAGAAGAGCCATGAAATTAAAAACGTGCCATGATAAAAACTCGTGAATACTTTACTCGTCAATATTATTCAGGGTTGCCACGCCTGTATTAATGTTAACTAGTATACATATATAAACATATTTTATATTGCTTTTGGAAGTATATGGTTAATTTTTATTAATACATTATTACATAAATTATTTTTATGAACTTGTCTATAGATTTTGTCTGATGGGATTTTTATATTCATAAAAACTACGTATCTAACTCGCGTAACAATAATTTTCTCCCTCACTCCTACAATCACAGAAGAAGTTGCCGAAATGTATCTAAGAAATTAGTACTTTTATATTAAACAATAGAATGAAATGTTCAAGAAATCAGAATCAGGCGAACAATGACTCATGATCAAAATTGAAAAACAATAATGACTGAAGGATGCTGAAATGATAAAATGGTGGTACCAGAGAAAATTGTTAATGAACCCTAGAAGATAATGAACAGAATCCGCTGCTTGTACAGTCAAAGAAAGAAAACCAGAAGAGGAGAAATATAGATTTCAAAAAGAAAAAAAAATGTCCGAAAAAGTAACGGTTTCATGAAGAGGTCCCAAAGATCAGAAATGAAATAATGTGAACAAAGAGAGTAAGCGGTATTAAAATTGTTCAGCGCTGTTCTCGGAATATCTCGAATGCGCAAGGAAGCACAGTGACTAAACGGACAAAAGAACGACTGAGGTCGAAATCTCAATAGGTCTATTTCCCGATCTTTGATCTTTTAAAAGTGCTCCCAGTCCTACTCACTTTCATGTTCACTGAGCCTTGGAACAGAACAGTACACTGTCAGGAATGTCATTAAATGTAACGTAGATTTCTGTATTGTGCAGAAACTGAAATTACAAAGATATATTTGTATTATTTTAATATATCAATCTTATCTCTTAATATATCTTAATATAATCTTATCCCTTAATATATTTATACATTAAATGTAATGCTTCAATTAAAACCAGAGTAGATTTAATGTAGAGGTTGAGAGACCCTTTTACTCTGCCTCTTATCATTCATGTAATAAATTCATAATCACCAGCCCACCAAAATCATTCATTCATTCATTCAAATCATTCATTCATTCATTCCAGATTTGACTATAAAGCTTTGACTATTGAATCCTAATGAACATGTCTTCATTAAATTTAATGTGTTCATTTTAATTAATGCATATTTCATTAAAGTAATGCAGAAATTTCTGACAGCGTCGAACATTTATGAACCTACCATTGGCGTGAAATCGTACGCGAAACCTCAAAATTTAATACAACCGTTTAAATCTCCCTACTGTGTCAGTTTTAGTCCCACGAATACGCAAACCTTGTGTGTTTTTACAAACATTAGCTTCGACATACTTTACGAGAACCGTAACCTCATTTTTTCCCATCGTGGAAACATTTTTTCCATGTTTCATCTGATATTTCTATCTATCGACTTTTATTTAATAATTTTTCATTTGTGCAGGGCAGATAATTGTAATTATCGACACCCCGAAAAATGTTCGTTATGTGACGGCTGCGTGAATAAAAATCGTGAAAACCTGGGACTATCGTACTGTAGAATTTATATTTTTGTAATAAACTTTGTTGAACAGTTTCAAAATAGAATCATTTTATTCGAGAGTTATGTTATGTAAATTTACTAAGCAATTTTTTTCAAAAATTACAAAATGTATACTATGTAGGTACACGTTCATATTCCTATATACAGTACATACTATTTCTCCATACTTGAATCTAATATTCATGAAAAAATCTCCAGTACCTATTGTGTTACTTTTTTCATATTTTAACGTTCTATTCACAATTAACACAGATTGCATTCCATTTGTTGTTTTAGGAGAATGTCCTTCCGAAATAATTTATTCAGTGGAATTAAATTTAAAAATTTTATTTCATTTTGACAGACATTTTCTGTGAAATGGATTTTTAATATTAATAAATTAGTTCAAAAATATAACCAAATTGTCATTCGTTTTCATTGATTAATCACTAATCATTGTACTGTAGAATCTGCATTCATAATTCAAACACTCTTGAACCATATGAAATATTGATTATTTTATGAATAATGGAAAATTACATAGCTGTCAAATATGACATGAACCTATTATTGGCATTTATTGAAACGTAGAAAATTCAGCATCCATGGCATCTTGTTCAATGAGGGTATGAGAGATTATTTGGACGTCACATGCGTGTGCCCTTTGTCATAACAAAGGGCACTCCGCCAAGTGAATATTTCCTTCCTGGATGAAAGAGCTTTGGCTTTATTTTATGTATGTGCATTATTGTTGGTTTCCCATTATTACAAAGGTACTCATGTAATAGTACATTGTTAACATTTTACAGCATGCTGTCAAATATTCACATCTATTTCTTCTCATTTCAAAATTCCGCGAGGCTATAGAAAAAGCAACCTTAAGCCGCTAGTCCTCTGATTACACCAGAGGCTACGAAGTAGAGTTGGATTCAAAGGCAAACAGTGAACTATGTTTTTCGTCCTAAGAAAATGTAAGCTATAAACCTACACAGAGTAGTAATACTCTGAGCGGTCAATCCTGAGGGAATGTATTCTCACTGGATCTACGAAGGGCTCTTCAAATCTCCTGTGCTGTTCCTTAAAAACTTCAGAGGACGTAAGCTCTTCTTTCCTGAACCCGTCGCCCCTTTGGCTGTCCATTGCAGACACTGCAACACGGACGTCGTAGTTTTGGCTAATGCAGGAAAACTTCTCCCAATCTATGGAGCCCGCAAACAGCGACGCCGGCAGCTTTTACCTACTACCTTCACGTTTTCATGTCGTTGCAGACCGCACTAGCCTTTTTAGGAGCACCGTGATATCCGATTTCTCAACGCTTGGTGTCCTTTTGCCACCGGTCTGTTAGTGATGACTTCCCCTATCAGGCTGCTCAAATGTCGCATCAATAGCTGCTCGCTGTGGCGTGGAGACATCAGCAAATAAACAGATAGAGTCAATGAATTGATTGCTAGAACGGTAGATTTAATCATAAAGATAAGATAAAAATCAGCCGACATCTTCCGATTTCGCGGTAAAGCAATATAAGAGGAAGCTTAGATATAGAAGGCGAACCAGAAATGTAATTTTGCAGAAAGTTTTTAACCTCAGAGAAGTCGTTTGTTTTTTGCCCATAAACAAGGTGTTTCACGCAGTACTGTACTGATCTTCTAACTCTCACGAAGGCTTTTTTCGTGGTAAAAACATTTTGATTGGGTTTTGACGTCTAGTGTGCCGTAGGTAATTAAATGACGATGTCGGTTGGCGGTGAGATAAACGCTGATAACACTGTTGGGTTTGATTAAATTAATTTAGATGTAAATATAGTACTTTTTCTTTTTCATTCAATTGATTTGAAATATGTATCTGCTTATAAAAATGCATTCCTTTCGTTTCGTAAGGTATCAATGTCTTTTCTGAGAAAATGAAAAGGCCGCCAGAAACAACTGTATATGAATAATGTAACCTTTATGTAATGAAATGAAAGACGTCCGTAATGCACTAAACATATCGAAATAAAAGATCCCCAAACAGTTTTCCACCACACCATAATGAAGTCAGAAACGTATTTTTTAAGGTAAAGTAAAGAAGTTTCTGAAATACATATACATTTTACGGAGGAAAATACAGTTTCTACCATTAGAAATTGATGGAAATCTGAACATGCCGCCATCAATTTGTGAACACAGGAGAGTTTTAGCAAGGTGAATTCTTTGTCGATGTTTCGTCTACACATACTTCTTTCTAAACAGACTACTGGCTGAGTTAGTTCAGAGTCAACATTTCTATTGTGTCTGCAGCGAAGGGACTGGGAGGTACTTGGGCTCACTTCTCGACGGTGGCGGGTTTCCAACATTAATTATAAAGCTAGGTCAAATTCAGCCTCCGTCAGGGTGAGAATTCAAAGGGCCGGCTGCTCCGATCGGTAATTTTCTGTGGTTTCTCCGATCAACACCAAGCAAATGCCGTACCCTAACAAACGAACCGCAGACTGCGCGCAGTCTTTTCTTCCTCTTCCTCGTCATATCCTCACCCTTTACATGTACATTTACACTACACTATCACAGATATACCAACCAATCAACTAAACCTATCTCATAGCATGCCCCCCAAAATGATGATTTTTTATAAGTGTCACTTTTCTTATGCACTGCAAATGTAGGGTTTCGTAGTAAATACGAATCAAGCAATCAACTAAACCTACTCTATTCTATATCCCTCGAATGGCGATTTTGAGAACTGTCACATTTCTTATACACCGCAAATGCGTGGTCTCGTAGTACATAAGAATCAACCAATCAACTAAACCTACTCCATAGCATAGTCCCTAAAATGATTGTTGAGAAGTGTCACTTTGACTTTGTTTCACTTTGTCACTGTGTCTCTTCTATTATGTATGCCCTCACATCAGTTGCTAACGCGCGCGTCGCGCGGTGCGCAGGTGGTGACGCTGGGCTCGACGCCGTACCCGGGGCTGGCGGCGGCCGAGGTGATGCGGCGCGTGCGCGACGGCTACCGCCTGGACAAGCCCGAGCACTGCCGCCGGGAGCTCTACAACATCATGTACTACTGCTGGGACAAGGACCCGCAGGAGCGCCCGTCCTTCCGCGAGCTGGTGGCGCTGCTCGAGCCGCTGCTCATGACGGAGACCGACTACATCGAGCTCGAGCGCTTCCCCGACCACTCCTACTACAACATGGTCAGCCTGAGCGGCGAGAAGCTGTAGCGCCGCCGGGGCGTGGCCCGGCACGCACGGCTACCTGCGCGGGCCATGTGGAAGGAGATGTGGAAGTGGGGCAGTGCAACCCAGAAGGTGTGAGATAACGTGCTGAGGCTGACATCCGAGTGACTACCAAGGGAAGGGTAAAGGGTCATTGTCGAGGCGCATGAGCGATTTCCAGGGTGTGAGTCTGGGACAGAACGTGGGTATGAGGGAAGTGTAACCTAGACGGTGACAAAAACCGGCAGAGGTTTTTATTTTTATTTTTGTTTTTGACGCTCTGTCTTCCACTCAGCATTGACACTAGCGCTCATGTACCCGTACCAGTCAGACTTCCATCTGGCGACATTTCTTTAGGTAAGGAAAAGTCTTTGAAGCAATGTTTTAAATGGAAAGTCAACCATGAGTATGTCATATCGTTTACTGTGTTCTAGTTACGTTTCTACTGTTTTCAATAGAGCACTTTGAGGTGAGATGCTTTGTGGATTCGCGAACCACAATGAATGAGCAAGTGACTTCGAACATTAACCAAAGGACGCAAACTCCAAATGTCGACTTAGTGAGAAATCGCATTCCAAAAATTCCCAATGGAATGCGACTGAACATTTTGCGAGATTGACATTAATGGGAAAGCGAAACAAGAAACCGAGCCATTTGTTGTTTTCTGTTACGTCATAACGGTCAATTAATTTTCATATAATGTCAGCGAAGGATGTAAAATCAATGAAGCAAGAGTTTTGGATATGTAAAAGCCCGTGTTCCTGGCAGTTTTTAATTTTTAAAATGTAATGGGATTTTAGTAAATTGTCATTGCAATTCAATTGTAGTAGAATGCTAGCTTTGCCGCATGAAATAATACTTTACAAAAGAGAGTATTTTAATGCCGGCTTTGTTATGTTTTTTTGCATTTACAAGTTTTCCATAACATAAACATTATCATTTTAGGTAATTACATTCAATTTATGCATTACTTGAATTCGGATTCATTACAATCTCTAGCCATCCATATGAGTGGACCCTGAATGACAAGATAATCTCAGATGCAATAAGATAGAGTGAACAAATTTCCATTTGTATGTTTAACTCCCGCTCTAATTTTCACATTAATTAGTATTTGGTTTGCAAATTGGTGCTTCATTACTTCGAAGGCAAAGCTATAATATTCAGGTTGAAATTTTCATTCAATGCAAAGATTACAGGCTTCATCTTCTGTTCTGTTAGACTCCTGGTTGCTAATACAGAGTTATTTTGGTGCATTAAGAGACACTTGCATTTCCAGTGGAATTTTGCAATCCATTAAAGGTATATTTTAAACTTTAAATACGCGGTAAGATGAGCAAAATATTGAGGTGTTTTCATTTCCTTCCCAAATATATTTAAAAGGAAGAAATGTAATTGATGAACCAACAAGGAAGTTCGCCACTTGGGTGAACTGTAACATATATGCATAAATCCAATTTTTTTTTTGAAGTTTAAAAGAATTGTTAATATCTTTCACTAGATCAGTGCTAGGAGAGACAATGAGAGCACATTTTTCGAGATATTTTCATTAAAATGTGCAGTCATTTATACGTATATTACTCATTCCTAGATTTACAATCTATGCTGGAAGACATTTAGATTGTGCCTTTTAACTGTGAATGGTGAAGTACCTTGTATGTGGATGTATGTTATTATTTTAAAATTGCAGCAAAGTTACCTGAAAAGGGGTTTCTTTCACTCTGTATTCTTTTAACTCAGGCACTCAGCTAGAGAAGAAATATTTTTTTAAAATATATTGTGCAGCTATGGACTCTACTGACAAATCAAGTCATAATTTATGAATAATGTAAATAATAACGATATATTAAGTCCTCTTATAATGTTTCTTATGTGTATATTGATTTATAAATTCATATTTTGTTTTATTTGTTACTTTTATCATCTATTTGTATTCTTTAAGTTACATGTAAAAAGTCAACTATAAGATTTTGTTATTGTCAATAATAGTTCACCAAATTAAATGTAATTGTAGAAAAATACATTTTAGCATTTAATTGAAAACTGGAATCTTTTCTAGAAAAGTTCTATCATCAATATGTTTTTACAATTATTCAAACTATGTTTGTACAGGCAAATACATAATTGCTTAGTGTATATACATAGTACGACAGAATAGTGTACATAAGTAAAATCATTTTTTTCTTTCAACAGTAATTCATTTTTTTCAGTTCACTAGAATGTTCTCCAATGTTAATAGTTGTTCGTATTAATTTATGAAAGTAATTTTGTGATTGATTTTTGTGCTGTATTAATGTGTATATTTTCAATAAAAAGTCTATAGGTTACATGCTACGAATTTTATCTGAGACCCTTCAAACAATGTCATTCAAGTCATAATGAGAATATTACATGAACTAACGTTTTCATTATGAACACCGAAGTTTTATTATTCTACTAGTAGAATAATATAGTTTTATTATTCTTCTGTAGACATTGGCGGTTCACGATTAAATTGCATGGTTGCCTAACACCCAGATAATATAAAAATCCTATAATATATAAAAAACCTACATTTTCCAATTAATGCCATTTAGTATTCAATATTTTCCAGCAAAATCCATGTATATGAAATCACCTTGAAATCAAAGAGAGACAAATGAGCGCTGTCCCCTACATTTCTTGCGCTCTCAGACAGTGCACCATGTCATGCTCTTATGTTCTTTTACTGAGTTTACTCTTTGACCGCGCTTTGCTATGCTTCAACACCGAGTGTTCGTTGTTTTTGCACCGCAACCAGCCACCGACTTACAGCGCAGGGACTGTCCGCAGTGCGCCGTCTCCGAAGGTAAAACCAATATTGACTTTGGATTATATTGAATGCCTCTTGAATGTTGACTTTTTGAATATTGGGTTTTATTAAACTTAGTTTTAATTAACTGATATGTATGGCTTACGTTTAATTTATATTTTTGTGCTTACGTCATATACAGGATGCCAGGAAAGTCTGTCCGCACCCTGATCTGGTCCGCACCCTGCACTTTCACCCTGATCCTCTCCGCCACGCGGCGCGCTAGTGTCGCAAGCATTCCGTCACCCCGACCCCCTTCCTCCACTGCTTCTGCTCCACCCAACGGACTGTAGAATGCTACCTGGTGATGTGGTGCCAACTTAATTTTTGTTAGCACTCTTATCAGTGTGGTGCCACTGCGAAGAAACCTTCCTGGCTCACTGTATAACTGTTATGAATTTTGGAAATTACGTTTACGCCATTCGATTGAGCTGCAACCCCCAGTTGGTTGGGGGGTACTAGTCACCACTGCTTGTAGGTTACCACACCTGATTCTCAGAGGGTCTGGAATGTCGTCGAAACATATTATATCTTCCAGGCTTGTCAGAGATTTATTGTATCATGGATCAAATACGAAATTGGTCGAAAGTTATAGTTTTAAAGGTATTTTGCTTATTCTCGGGATAGTTATTAATGCCATTAGGCCGATAATCACTAAACAAGCAACTTCAACTAACAGGCGGTTGAAGTTTGTATACCGTGGCGATAGCAGAGATTTATAACCAACCAAGTCCGTTATTTGTGTTATCGACCGTGTGCAATTCAATATTTTTCGTAATACCATCTTCTTATAAGAAAAAATAACATAAATAAGAAACACCTTTGCTTTTAAATCGTAGAAATGCATAGCCATCTTCCATTTCAATTCGATACGATTGTTGCTTTAGACGCGTCAGTTACAAGAAGGCCAATCGTAAAAACACATAAGAATATTTTTACTGGAAACAAATTGATACTTAAAAAGGTATTATAATTTTGAATATTTTTAGGGTATATCGATGAGACAAACTTGTGTGATTAACGATTAACATAGTAACTAAAAACGAGTGCTGCTTCCACTAAGCAACACCAAAAATAGAATATTTGTAATACCCAAAAACTTCCATTCAACGCATATAATTTGTATAAAAAATATACTAACCTACGTTCTTAGAACCTACAAACAAGGCGATGTATCGTAGATTATAGAAATGAGAAATACACTATACAAGTTGTGAGTGTACACACTATGGGAGGCACCCCAAAAAATATAGCGGAATTTTTAAAATTACACTCTCTTGAGCTTTAATCAGGGTATTGTTTTCAATGATCATCGACCACGATTATAGTTTATATAAAAGTATTTTGTTGCCAAAACCACTTAAATTTTAATTTTAATTTCCATATTAAGATGCGAGAAGAAAATGTGCTGAACATATAGAGAATATTTGAAGAATTTAAGTAGGAAAATTATAGTAATCGTGTGGATGTCGAATGTTGGTATTGCGGAAAAGATGCAATTGTATATTCTGGGAACATGGAGGAAAATATGTATGAAAACCTGTGGAAAACTTGCCGAGAGAATGGGGGGTGACATTTGAGGTACATGCGAGGAACTGGCACGAAACATGCCAAGAACGCGCGGGGAATATGAGAAGGTTTCATGTAGAGAAACATACGGGGTGCTATTTAAAACTGTGTTAAGTTTTGTTAAGTAATATCATATAATGTGAGGCTCTTAATTTTTTTTTTTTTTGAAAATTAGCTCTTCTGAGTACTCCAACACGGAAGTATACATAGAATTTAGCCGAACCATAAAATCTAGAAAAAATTGAATTGACACGTCAATAGAGACGTCAAAACAGAGCTGCAATGCTTTACCACACAGTTGAGAAGCTCGCCGTTTGACGCAGTGATTCAGTATGAAACTATTTTCGTTTTTATAACAATTTTTTCTAAGTGCGGTATGTTTTCACGGTTCTAGCTAGTAATAGTATCTAGTATTATATAATTAACAAAAAAATTGCGATAAGTACAGAATGAGTGATCCTCATATTCAAGTCTATCATTTGTCCTATTTTTCATGCGCCTGCCCCACATGACTGAGTTGCTTTATAAAATATTATAATCGCGAGAATGGGTAGCATACCGAAGCTTGCCCTCTTCTTTAAGTGATCTTCAGTTTTTATTCATCAACAACTTAAATATATCTGAAAAAATGTACAATGCAATTTAATGATCTACAATTGATTGATGCATTGCATTGAAAATGAATCTGACTATTGGTGGCGTAGAACAGGTTCAAAAATAAATTTATTTTGTAGAAATCTTCAAGATAACAGAAGTTTTCACGAAAATCAGTACTATATAATTTTCTTCAATTCCAGAAAAAAACGTAAAGAAAATTGCTACAATTTTTTTAAAAAATTGAAAATATCTCAGGGTCAAGATGTAAAATACACCTAATAATTCTTAGTGATCTCCAGAACGGCACAATTACAATCACGTTCTTCATGTTACCAAGTCTGAGCTCAAAATCTAATCTGACAGATAGGCGTGTCGTAAACTAATATTTATCTAGACTTTTAACTAATTTTTGGCAACAAAAGTTTGTTATGTAACTTGTTGCCACCGACAAAATTTAACCATTTTTGTAACAAAACCAATTAACCTTATTACAGATACGTGAGCGAAGTTATTTAACAAAAGAAACTTTAACAAGGATTTTACATCCAAAACTTTAAGATAGAATTTTAGGTGATGTCAATAATTTTCCTCCCTACGTCCATAGAAAAGTCTCCTTAATGTGCTCCGGCTTGTGACTAAAGTTGATCTGAGGAAAAAAAACAAATTACCAATAGGAGAAGCTAACTTCTAGAAACATCTCTCACAAAGAAACTGGATTCAATCTATTTATTTAGCTGGTGTCGAAAATGCTCATAACGCCATCCTAGGATCTCCTGGTACACGAAGCTTTAGTTGCAATCTTATCAACACATTTGCATTTGAAGCTAGTATAGTATTGACAATTTGCTTATCATCTCTTTTACAATACTCATTTACAACCAAAGATTACGCAAAGAATTACGGTCGTGTCTCATTGGTCTGATGAGAAGATCTTACATTATAATCATAAATAATCATGAGAAATAAATGTGTGATGTTGAAATTAAAAATATCAAAACACATTAAACAATTTCAATGGCTGCAAAAACAGATTTAATTCATTTCAAAGTGAATTTTAAATTATTTTATTAAAGTTAGACATCTTTAGTTTTCTCTGTTTAAGGTCAACGTTTCAGAAAATATGAACTATAGGGGAAAAATGAGAAAAAGTCTCATCCTGGAGAATGTAAATTAACACAGCGTCAGAAGCAACCTTAGTGCTTTGTATATTTTCGTAAACTGCGGAAGAAAGAAGACACAAACCAGAAAATTGAATATTTAAAAAAGGGTACTATAAATGTAAGGACGCTAGATATATTTGCAGGGTAAAATTTCACACAAGTGATATTTTTTACTTCATTCTATCAATTTTGGGTGGTGTCATTACAACGGCAGTGGCGTCAAGCGTGGTGGCAACGCATCACCTCTCGATTAATTAATTGATTGATTGAGGACACGTGACCTGCTATGCTAATTAGTTTATGGTCGTTATTTTATAGATATCGTACTCTTATATAAATTATATATCTCAAGTGTAATAAATGTTAATAATCCTGGATGTTTCTGCGTTCCATCCCTACTGAATAGTAAAATAAGGATCGACGTAAAAGTAAATTTGCGGGGCACATTTCCTTAAGGTGTCTTCCCCCTGCGTGACGCCGCTTCACCTTCGACAAACTCTAGGCTTTCGACAGGTCACCCGCTATGTGTACAAGAGGAGATGTGAAAGTGTGTGAGAGGAGATGATAGGACAAGGAAGATCATGGGATGTTCGCGCGATGCGAGACCCGTTTGTTAAGGTACTACTCCGGCATTCTGTACATTCGATACTTCTCCAGAGCTGCCTCATATCCTAAGAAACAATACGAAACATTTTTTTTTATTCAGAGCAGCCATCTGCTAGAATTCTCCTCAAGCCAGCGGCTGAATTTTACCAACTATGTACGTAAATGGGTGATCTGGGCATACCAGCCCTGAGGAAGACCACGACAGGATGGTCGAAACGTCGGCAACTCAGCCTTCGACGCGGCGTCACCCGGACAGCCCAGATCACCCACATGACTCTGGTCGCGGAAGCCTACGACTTCATATGTACGTATAGTCGAAAAGCGGCGGAAGAGGAGGGAACAGACTACTGGTACTAAAGATAGAGTCACAGAGGATCCCAAAAATCTCATACCATCAACCAGCAGAGCTATCACTACCACCCGAGCTGCGAATGTGTAAGGAACAAACATCCTCATGGTAAGTTCAGTCAACAAAATTTCTAATGAATTGATGGTCTCAGCCTTAAAGAAGGATAATTTCAATCGCCTCCCATCGGGGAAGGTTCGTTTCGAGAGGAAGATTATG